GGCATTGTTCTCCTTCGTTTTGTACATAACTTTTTGGGGGGCAAAGAAAAAGCAAGAAGGTTTTGGAACCGGAGAATGAACGTTTTGCAGTGCATCAAATGCTTGCATTTGATGCAGGTACTTGGATTGTTTTGCCACGAGTTCCCGGCATGCAATGCACGAAAGTCACGTGGTCTGGCAATCTCTATACTGTACCTTCTTGCACGTCTCTGTTTCCTGTGTGTGTTGTTAGAAATCAAACTGTAACTTTAGGAAAAAATATGCCAAAAGCACATTTACAATTACTTATGACCATTTTTAACTTCTTTTCTTCAGACCAAATCCCCTGTACACATATACTGACTCAGAGGATGAGCAGCCTACAAAAAACGGTTTCCCCAGGTGCCTCGAGTGAAAATTTGAAAAGTTGTCTGCATTCTTAAATAAATTTCTAAACAGCCCTCACCACTCCGCAGTCTGCCCCCCAGCCCACTGATAGCAACCATCATAATGCCCCGCCCAGCTTGCGGCACCTTTCGCCAACACAGCTTTGCGATCTCCCCAGCCTGCAGAGTCTGATGTCGATGTCTTCCCTATAAAGGGTATGCTTTTAAAATAGTTTTAAAGCTGCATCACAATGTCATTGTGCTCTTATCTTCAGAACACCAGTTTATACTCCTGCATGTCATCTTTTTGTGATTTATTTTTTCTGTAGATTCCAGAGACTCTGTGAGGCCACTATTACAAGGCAAGTTTGAAAATCTTGGAATTTCACAGTTTACATGGTATAAATGGTAAATGGCCTGTATTTGTAGAGCACTTACTAGTCTCTAAGGACCCCAAAGCACTTTACACATTCAGTCATCCACCCATTCACACACACATTCACACACTGGTGATGGCAAGCTACATATACAAATATCAAATATATGTGACAGGAAAAAACTAGTAAACACTTTTAGCAGTTACCACAACTTATACTTGAATGCAGAATGTTACACCATCACTTATTAGTTTTTCTCCTCTCACTGCTTAAACCATTAATCTTTCTGGAATTGTTCTTTGAAACAGATGTGACCTCACAAAAGATGTTAACAATGCTGTCAGACCTGACCAGAGCAGTTAACGAACTCCGTGAGGAGGTCAGAGCCAAGCGCCACCCCTGCTGCAATGAATCGGTAGATGCTGGGGTACTGCCTCTGGATTTGCCCTTGCACAACATGGAGGAGCTAAACAATGCAGAGGCAGCTCTTCAATCACAAGAGGCAAATAAGGCAATGGTAAGTATATAAAGGTTATGTTCACTTTGTAACTATTGTAGTGTAATAGCTGTCAGATGTGATTAAAATACATAAAACGGCCTGTTGATTAAACACACAAGCACTTGCGTACACATTTAAGACATGAGACAATTCCATCTCTTAAAATGTGTCTATAGGTGAGACGCTTTGCCCTGATTGGAGGGTCCGCCGCACCGCCAAACGACCTGGCCTCGGTACTCAACTCGGCAGGGAAAAAAATCCAAGGACCAGAGAGAGCAAAAAAGGGCATTTAAAGAGACAGCGCTGTGCAGATGCATATTTGGTAAGTTTTACAGTTTATTGTAGTTTTATGAGCCTAAAGTGAACAATAAAGGGATCAAT